GAGAGATGAAAATAGGCTGCGGAACTGGTGGCGGGGTTCCCTCGGGCCTGGATTCCACCCAAGGCTTCTGCCGCTGCCCGTCTTTCCCTCCCAGGCTTTGGGGAGATGCGGAGCAGTTCCCCTTCGGTGGCACCCAGGGTGAGGCCCCAGCCCCCAGCCCTACGGAACAGCCCCTCAAACCCAGGAGATGTTACAGGCAAAGGGGACGTTCAGTCTTTCCCTCCCAGGCTTTGGGGAGATGCGGAGCAGTTCCCCTTCGGTGGCACCCAGGGTGAGGCCCCAGCCCCCAGCCCTACGGAACAGCCCCTCAAACCCAGGAGATGTTACAGGCAAAGGGGACGTTCCCTGGGAGACCACGGCTGTGTGTGTCCCGCCTGGGGAAAGTAGGACTTTTTCATGTCTGGGCTCCGGTTGTGCCATAAGGTGGTAGCTGAACCAAAGTCTGGCACTTAGAGTCCTGCTGGAATGGGGCTACTGAGTCGGGCCCTCGGCTTGCTGTAATAAAGTGATGGAGCCAGGCTGGCATCTGCAGCGGTGTTGTGCTTGGGTGACGGAGCCGGGCTCTTGTGTGTGAAGCGGTGCTGTGCTGGGGTGATGGAGCCGGGTTCTTGCGTGTGGAGTGATCCTGTGCTGTGGTGATGGAGCCGGGCTCTCACATGTGGAGCGGTGCTGTGCTGGGGTGATGGAGCTCAGTTCTGATTCCTGGAGATGTGCCATAGTAGGTTGATAGAGCTGGGCTCTCCCGTGAGGAGTTGGACTGCTCTCAAAGGCAGAGTCATGTTAGGAAGTGATGGAGCTGGGCTCTAGGACATCACTTTGTGCTGTGATGGGATGATGGGGCTTGATTCTGGCCCCTGGAGTCCTGCTGCACGGGGGAGCTAGAGCGAGGCTTGTGAACATGGAATCAAACTGTAGCAGTTTGGAGCGTGGAGGCTGGTACCTTGAGTCATTTGCAGAGGGATGCTGGAGCAGGTCTCTGGTGCTTGACACTGGGCTGGTGCACGTGGTGTCCTGTCATAGTGGGAGCGTGCCTGCTGAAAGAGGATGATGGAGCTAGCTCTGGGGCCTTGAGTCCTGCTGTAACAAGGTGATGGAGCTGGTCTATGGCTCCTGTTGTAACAGGATGATAGAGCTAGGCTCTGGTGTTTGGAGCCCTGCTGTAATAGCTGACGGAGCTGGGGCGACGGGCCTGGGCTCTCGGGCACGGAGCTGTGCTGCCGTGGGACAATGGGGCACAGTGCCTGGGGCTGCCCGCGTGGCGGGAGAGCGTGGAACCTTCACGGAGGGGAGGGATGCAGCCGGGCTCCTGGGCACGTGCGGAGGGACCGTGCCGCAGCAAGGCCAGGGAGCTGGGCTCTAGCACGTGCTACTGTTTGGGGGGAGCTGGAACCAGTGCGGGGGCGGTGCCGACGCTGCGGAGGTGGGCTCTGCGTGGGGGAGGGGTGCTGCCGGTGCTGGAGTGGTGCCCGGTGCCAGGAGAACGGGCGCTGCCGGTGCTGGGGGGG